TCTGCTCCTTAGGAATATGTCTGTGCTGGTTGACATGAGGACAGTTTTTTAATGCAGCGCAATAAGTGCAAACTTAGTTAAACACAGCACTAGCTACACAGAAAGAAAAACTATGCTACCTCAACATAGAGATCCTGTGTTTCCAGTTACTGCCTTTTTCCACTATAAACATCAACTTTCTGTAAATTATCCCGAAAGATTTTGTCTTTCACTGTCTCCATTTTAAGGAAGTTGATATTGTCCTCTTCTCAGAACTCCAAGGCATTTTTGTTTTCCCAATTTGGAAACTTTTTGGGTTGCTGTAGTTAAGGTCCTTATCTGTTTTCTTATTTTAGTATGAAGTAACTGCTGGGTTAAAAACAATTGGGTCACAGATGTCTGAGTTGTGACTAAATATCGTAATGCGTGGGATTACATACTAAGAGTAAGGTACAACTTTCCTTAGGATATAATTAAAAGTTTAAGTGTACAGCTTTCAATTAAGACCACATCATTAAAAGCAAAAAAATCAAGTGATGTTGAAATTTTAAGTCTCATAAACTAGAAAATCTCTGAAAGTAGAAGTATCTCAAGAGTAGTTTGTTAGATACTAAATGTCAACTTCATGACGAACATCACAAAGATTTTATTCGGGATCAAAAATCTGCACCAACATATGTCTCCCAAGATGTGTGAAAAATTTCTGTAGGGTGCTGGCAAGAGGCGTAACTTCTGCTCCGGGCGATGTAAACAGAGACATCAAGTCTAAAAGCATAGCAACAGTCAATATCCCCTGACACATAAATAAAAACAGCAGAAGCAAACTTGAAAGTGCTACTAAAAGCAAAGTTGAGTGTTGATATCCGCTGAGACAAAAAAATCTGTTTACTTTCTTTTGTTTTTATACAACAAAGCCTTGGTGGCATTAAAGTGCAATGATGGAAAAAGACCTGCATATAAACAAGAAATCAAGTGGATCTGTTGATCAAACGGCACGGAACCCAACCAGCCTGACAGTCGGCCATCATTGGTGGTCATTAAGCCGTCAGCGTCGAAGTGGAGGCTACTGTGTGACACTTAAATAACAAGGGTGTAAAGTGACAGAGGAGAAAGCAAATACACAAAGGTCAAGACACTTCACATGCTGAACGAGAGGGAAATTTGTTGTAACTTGAGCGCTGTGATTTCAGAAACAATACTGCAGGTGTGAAACTTGAGGTGCTGAAATGTTGCCATGAGAAAGCTGGGCCATGTGATGATTTTTTTTTTACATCTTTGAATCAACTTTGAACAATTACATGATGCGGTTTTCTTCTTTGTGCATCAAAAGACTTCAAGCTGAAGGGGAAATTCTTCAATATAGACCCATTTAGATAAAAAGTGAAAGAATGGAATATCTAAATTACAAGGATTTATTTGATGCTATAAAAAAAATGACACCAGAAGCCATTTTATACTGTTTAATGAATGTCCCCCCCACCTCCAGCAGCATCACCCTCCCCCTCACCTCTCTGACAGTGGGAGACATAATCAGGTTTTGTAAGATTTGGGAGTAGATTAGCCGCCACCTTGCTTGCAGATAAGAAGCTGCGCTGATAAAGCCCTGTCCTACGAGGCACATGTCTGTGATTAAAACACCATATCTGACAGGAGCAGATCTGTTAAGAACACAATTAAGACACTGTCTGGTCATATCTACTCTAACTTCACTTGTATCTGCTAATCCCTTTGCTCTGACTGGGGTAAGGTTGAACATTTCAGACTATAAAAATCATCCATGTAAACTTTAAATCTCTAGGTTTTCTGGTGGAAACAACAGAAATGTTTAACTCATAAAACGGCAAAACATATAGCCCTCTTCATTTCACTTTCTAAGCTAAAATCAAAGACTCCTCTACTTGGGCATACTGTTATCAGTTGTTCTAGATTACATTTATTATAACCGGTTAAGCAACTGTTGAAATAATAGAACTTAAGAAATAGTTACCTGGATGTGAAGTCAAACAAATTGTGCTCAGCAAAGGAGTACCCCAGGGATCTATTCTGGGGCCCCATCTATAAAATTGTATAGAAATGGAATAGCCACAAAATTAGAAATTGTAAAATTGTTCTTCATACTGTTGACAGTATTATATTCCTCAGAGCACTAACATAGACAAGCTCTTTCACATTTATGGACTGCTTTTAACTCATTAAAACAAGCTTGTCTAGCCCTCATTGGGTCAAAGGCTGAAGACACATAATATGGTATTTATTCATTGGTCAATTATTGGTGAACTCCAATTGCACTTGAACAGTTTCTTGTCTACAAACATGTCAAAACTTCAGTATTGCTATATTCCCATTAAGAGAGATACTTTTCAGACAAAGGATAACGCTAGTTAAACTTTTTCCATTTAATAGGGTGGAACTACTGGACTGTAATACTATGGTCAAGACACACACGAGAGGTAATGAGTAATTAAACATAACACTATAGCTCTTATCGATAATCCTATTTATTCAGGCTTTTCTAAAACATCTATTTTTGTCCCATTTTCCACCTATGTGTAATTGGTAATAACCCTGAAACAGAGCCTTTTACAGTGTACTGTGACATGTATTTACATGTGGTTTTCAACAGCATGCTGCTCTATGTTAGAAAAGGCTGTAACTGGTCCACATAAAGGGCCTAAGTGGTCTGTTTAAAAACTCAAAGGTGCGAGCGGCTTATTGTGCTTGGATAAACTTGCCAGCCACAAATCCAAACCTCAAATTCCTCTTCACAGTGGATGAAATGATAAAAAAAAGCTGCATGTGCGTCCACGTAGCATCTGCATCACTGGCATTTATTTGTTGTCTTTTGCTTTCTTTGTTGATGGATTCATTTCAGATTATCTCAATGTCCTGCACAGCTGGAGTGAATCTGTACCAACCCCTATCTGCCTAAACCCATAACTTGTGGTCCATCTTTCTGCAAATAGCAGTGTTCTGTACAATCATTATCTGGAGGCTTTGGTTACAACAAATTGCTGCACACAACATTTCAGGCTTTTGTACAGTACGCCCTATGTGTTTGCTCCTGTCGTAGAATCCGAAACAGCCTTATCACTATGTAATACGGGTCCTATTTATATAAAGATTAGAATTTTAAAAGAAATACGTTTAAATCCAAACTCAAGATTTTGTCATTTGAAATTCAACAAACTTTACCATTACTGGATGTTAAAGTGGATGTGGACATGCTTGGAAAACTATTATCAAGTTGATTTGATGCAATCATTTCCGATTCCTGGAAAAAGTCACTCAGCAGCTATTTGTCTGTTTCCTACTAGTTTAGGTGTCATATGAGAGGAATGTTTTGACATTGGTAGGTGTTGAATAAGGCAGGGTTTTGGTGTGATCAGTTGATAATCTTTCTTGATGGTGGATGACGTTCGAGTGGAGAGGTTTATCTCAATAAAAACAATATGCTAAACATTACAGAACCATTGTTTAGCATTGCATGAATGCCTTTGAAACAAAAATTGGCATCTGAGCTTACCTTCCAAGATGAATCTGCTGCTGACTATGACATGCTAAGTAACATGCAACTCACCACCATGTAAGCATCAATTTCAGATGGCAAAATTAATGCTCTCTTGTAATGATTCTGTCGCTGTTGACTCAAACTTACTACCTATTGTTGCATTTAGCTGATGTCACCTTGGGCGCTGTTGTGCTGATGAGCCAGACAGATGTCAATCAAAAAGAGATCAGCCATATCAACACAGACTTCACAACTGATTTAAAATCAAAAAGAGCTTGTCTGTCTCTTATAAGTCTTGTTTTCAGTAACATTGGTCTTCTTTTTCAGAAAGTTTAAACTGCTGCACCACTCTGCATTTAAAGTAAGTAAAACTATTAATGCCTAATAATATCTTTGTCTGCATCATATAATTGTGTATTATACTGTAAGCAATTTCCCTGGCCTGTTCTGCTGCACATATTGCTCAGATGTCCTTCGGGAATCATTATCTCCATATAAAAAGACCCACAAGGGGGGTTTAGCGCTTCCATCCTCTGCCTTTTTAACCCACATTCATTATTCAGAGATTGTCTAGTGGAGTCAGAACTACAGGGAACCCAGAGAAGCCACTGAAGTCTCAGTCTTACATGTACAGACGGAAGAGAAGATGTCTCTGCGCACTTTATATTTAAGTTACTAAAATATTATTTCACCTGACATCTCAGACGATTAAAGGCATACACAAGTGGCGGTGTTTTAGCTGTGTTTCCTTGGTGACTGCCACTGTGTTTGTAACATTAAGCTGTTTTCCATATAATGTGGGTAAGGCAATCTGCTGCGTGTAACTGGATCCTGTTTGAATGCAGAGAAATGGATGAAACATGTGACAAGGTGTGATCCGCCAGTCTTGCTGGGTGTTTGTTGGCAGATGGGTCCTTTGTCGGGGTAATTTGTTTGACAGAATAACCAGGTAGATAATTACATGTTGCTTTTGTGACCATTAGGGCTATTGTTGTGTTAAGAAACATCCTAATACTGAATATTCATTGCTCTGTAGGGAGGTCATTGTATCTGGTTGACCTGAGGCAACATGTTTTTCTTTCAGAACACCTTTTTTCAACTAAATCTGCAGGTTTGTTTTCTGTCGGTGCATATTAAACAACAAAAGTTAGCAAAACAAGTTAAACTTAGAACAACCAAAACCTAAATACAATTTTGAATGGAATGATCCAGTAATTACAGAAAAAGTTCAACTGAAGGCTGGTGTTGCTGGAAACTGCACATAGGCTCAATTGCATCAGATTAGCCCACTATTCACCCGGGATGCAAATAAACATGATAGGGTATTAAGAGGTTGGAGCGGAAAGGGGTGTGACGAGGGTGTTGTATTTCATGTCAAACCACCTGGAGAGGAGACACTTAAGGCGCGCGGGTTCAGGGTGCCAGCGTCAGTTTGGAAACACACCCAGAGAAGGCCACATCCCTTGAATGACTACACTTGAATAGCTAAATTTGACGGCAAGACTTCGTGGGAATGGACAGCAGGCTCAGACCGCTCGGCATGCCCGGGCACACCGCCAACCCACTCGGTGGCTTGCAGGTCCCCCCTTCCCTCCTGCGCCCGCCTCCCCTCTTCCTCCGGGCTTGTAACCCTGCATTAGAGAGGGGTTACCCGCGCACCCCGAAGTGTGCCAGATGCAGGAATCACGGGGTAGTGTCCGCGCTCAAAGGTCACAAGCGCTTCTGCCGCTGGAGAGACTGCGTGTGCGCAAAGTGCACCCTGATAGCGGAGAGGCAACGCGTGATGGCCGCTCAGGTGGCGCTGAGGAGGCAGCAGGCGCAGGAGGAGAGCGAGGCCCGGGAGCTCCGGCTGTTGTACCCCGGCTCAGAGGCAGGGATCCCTCAGGGGTCTACTGTAGGGCCCGTGGTGCCAGCAGCAACCAGCAACACTCCAACTTCTGCAAGTTTTGATGTTTTTGGAGGGGAGAACAGAAAAGATGGTGAGTTATAAGGAAAATGTGAAGATACTGAGAATATTCACCTCACCCATCCCTATATAAAAACGAATGCAATTGAGTATTAAGTACTGAAATTAAGTTGAGGTGTTATTAAATCACATACCAAAACATCGTCTATAATAGCAATGATTAGATAAAGATGACAGTTTTACGCACAGCTTTTGGGCAGTTACGCATGCGTAAACATAATTTAACCACCTGTTTTTCTCTTGTTTCTTTCTTTGAATTTTAGATGAAAAGCTGGGCAAGTACAACTTTTATAACGGATTCATGGGTCGACCCCTCTATGCCCCCCACACCGCACGTCTCACAACTCCAGACGACAAAAAGGATCTGTCTCCAAACAGCGACATCCCCATGTCATTAACTGATAACAGCGCGAGTCCATCCCCGGTGTTCGATCAATCACAGAGTCCACACAGGTCACCTTCCTCCTCGGATCCGGAGTCAGGCAGTGAGTCGGAGAAACCCAGAGACTATTCGAGCTTGGAACGGGATCCCACTGACATCATGGCCAGGATATTCCCCAACCAGACGCGGGACACCCTGGAGTCTATGGTGAGAACGTGCAAAGGGGACATTGTCAGGTCCATTGAACTGGTCCTGAGCTCCAAAGAACCCAAAACGGACTCTGATGCCCCCAGAGCTTCTGCTGGGTTTCCTGGAGCGCTCGGTGCTCTTGGGAACAAGTCCGCTTTCTCTCCGCTCCACATGCCACCAACGTCCGCAGGGGGAGACAGTCTGTACGGGCTCGGGCCTCGCCTGGGCGTCAGCCCCCTGCGGATGACATATTCCTCCCCAAACGGTGCTATGGCAGGTTTTATGTCACCGTACATGACATCCGGACTGATGCCAATGTTTCCACTGCGTCCACCTTTGGACTACTCCTTCCCGGGCATGATCCGAGACCTTGCTTACCTTCAGAGCAAAGAGTCACTGTGCAGTTCAGGTCTTTACGCACGACTTAACACGGAAAAATGACAAACTTGATATAGAGACATTAATAATTTAATTGTTATTATAAATTGTCCTTCCAGTTTAGCTTTAATTCACAATTGAAAGTGCCTTAAACCAGAGCTTACGTTTGTAATGACCGCACTCCCCCAATTTCATGAAAAAGTAACGACTGTTTTGTGTTTTTATTTTTTTGTGTTAAGTGTATTAACATGTTGTAAAGACTGTGTATATTTGATAAATAAAGCTATCAAATGGTGCTCCTGTTTTGTGTCGTTGATTTTGTCATATTTATCTATCTATCTATCTATCTATCTATCTATCTATCTATCAAGTAAGGTGACATTGTAGTGATAAAATAGAATAGAATAGAATTACTTTATTGATCCCAAACTGGGATATTGTGGCTTTACAGCAGCAGGTTATCCAAACACACAATGTTAGCAAGTCTAAACACAATATAATATTAAATACAAAGTAAATAAGTACTAAAAATATCAAAACTAAGAATGTGAATATATACAACCAGGATTTAACTAAGCATTAGTCTTGAATAGGAAGATTAAATATGAAAGATTAAATGTAATTGTGCAAAAACAGAGTTGTAAATGGACAGCATTGACCTAAGTTAAAGTGCAGGATATACTAATCTAAAAGTAACAACAAAAACAAGTTTATGTATAAAACGCCACAATGTGTGTTGCATTTATGTGTAATATATAAGTCACAGTAAGATCACTGTGTTAACTAAGGCCTCCTTCAGTTCTCCAACAAGTTTATAACAATAACAACGTTGCATGCATGCAGCATTAGTACAGAGTAGGCCTAATAAGCAACAACATGATATTTTCTAAAATTGATGTTTTTGGCTCCCTAGCTCCATAACCTACCTGTCTATAATTGGACTTTTCACAATAAACACTCCACTCTTGTTACGCACAAGTAGGCCATACGCCACATACCTACAGGTAACACACACACCATACCATTTATCTGTATGTTTTAATCAATCATGCTTTTGGGGAATTCAATGTCTGTTTTTAGTCTCATTTGTGGCACGTAGGACTTTGTACCAAGTATTTAAAAAAAAGCAAAGACAGTCTGTCACAAAGTTAATTAACAGTATTCAAAACACCTGAGGCAAAGTGTAATTTCCAGCATGTATTCAGTTAAAACTGGTCGGATTGAACTTCTTGTAAAAGTCTTCTTGAGAAGTGATTATCTTCATTTGTAAAGAATTCATAGTTAAGACTATTTAAAATTGAAAAACCTAAAAAAGTTAAAATGTAACTCAGTCTAAAAATAGAAGAGTTTTCTTTCTCCGCCTCTGCAAAGCGGTTCTCGCTCCTGATTGGTCAAAGAACCGCACGCAGCCCGAGTGGCGAGCCAATAAAATTGCCTCCGCGGCGTCACGTGACCGCATGTTTCAGGAAGTGCGGACATGGACAGCTTAATGTTGGACAGCAGTAATCATGAGTTTGAAACCGCTTTTGAGCGGGACTTTGTGAGTCCGGCAGGCGCACGGTTACAAAAAACTGGTCCTTGTCATGCGTCTCCACGTCTTCATCGTCGCTGTCTTTTGCTGTGGTTTCGTTGACTCGCGGAAAATAAGAGGAATATCTTCGTCCTGTAAGTTCACTGTCCCTGTCGAGCTAGCTCCAGGCTAAGCAGCTGTCATGCTACTTAAGAACAACACTGCATGGTGTTACATGCTGTGACTTTAAAAACTCATGAGCTTCATTATTCACAGACGACATTGTGGACGTGCTCATGAGGTTGCCACCACTGCATGCAGTTTGTAAATACATTGAAACTGTAATGAAGGTAGCAGCAATAACACATGACCTATAATTATTTACACTCCCTGAAGTGCTTCATCAGTGACTATGTGCTAAACCACTGAGATTTTACTCTTATGCATGGATGCACATCTATGTGTCATTCTGCTCCCTGTTTCTGGTTGGATTTCTAGTTGCAATTCAAGGTCAACAGCATGCATCAGTGTGTTTTGTCTTCATCCTGCAACAGATAAGCGGTTCTACAAGGAGAAGAAATCCTTTCTGTGCATTGATGGATCCAAAATAATCCCATTCGAGCAGGTGAACGATGACTACTGTGACTGTGAAGATGGCTCTGATGAACCAGGTAAAAAAAAACTAAGCAAAGCACAGGCCAGTGGGTGGTCAGCGAGCTGCGAGTCAACAGCTGTTAATAATTACTGAATTCAGGTTTTCTGTATTTATTTGGCTTGACCCGCCCGAAGGCTTTTCAGACTCTTTGACAACCACACACACAAAGATATGAAGAAATGTATGAATTCAATGCTTTTTGTTTGTATATCATGGCCCTTTGTTTGTGGCCCCTCCCTCACAGGGTTATAATGATCAGGTCATAATTTCTTCTTTTTTAAATCGTGATTGTAAATAATAAATCAACTTGATAGGTTAAAAGGTAAAGAAAGTGTTTTCTTGCTTCGCATCACCATGTAAAAAAAATAAAATCATGTCGTTTTTTTGGAATTAAAGGCATTTCAAACGGCTGCTGAAGTTGAAGTGATTGTTGGTCCTGTCATGTGTACTTGTGTATGTTCAGTGTTAAACCAAGGAAATGATAGGGTTAAAAAAAATATTCTATCACAATGTATCTAAAGTATGTACTCTGTGTGTGTGCTGCTGTTTTGCTGTCTCATACTGTCGGGGTGAAAAAAAAAAAGTCAATCGTTGTGCTGTGTCAGTAATATTGGTTTCAGCACTGTAATGGACTTGTTTACTCATTACAACGAAAAGGGAGAAATATATTGACACATGCTACACACACAGGCATGAACAGGTTCCTACGGAGGGCACAAGTACCTTTTTTGTGTTTATTTTAATTTGATGCACTAATGGAGAGATGTCAGCGCGCTCGGCTGCATGTGATAGCGGTGCCTGAGCGGTTGTGCGTTTTGGGGCCTTGCTCAAGTGCTCATCTTCAGTGCACGGGAAGTGAGCTGACATCTCTCCAGCTAACAGACCGACTTCCAGACTAGATCCACGATGGGACATGAAAACGGAAACCCTCCAGTTCACAACCCAAGTCCCTCCAGACTGAGACTGAGACATTATTCAAATATCCGAGTAAATGACGACAGTGTCATAAACCAAACACATCAGCAGCTGATGCAGCCAGAATAGATACAGTTTCCGGTTTGTACAGTGCGAGTTGTTTTCAGATTTTCTTTTCAGGAATGAAACCGTATTTAAAGCAACTGTGATGAACTTTGTTCTTGTGGTGATGTCCGGACCATAGCCATTCGTGTTATTCCCTTTCCTTCACATCTCTTTGTTGTATTCTCCCATGAAAAAATCTCCTCCTGCTAACTTTGAACTGTTTCCTGTCCTACTTATTATGAAACTTTGCCGGGGAAACTGTTAACAAAGGCATCTCCGGGCCTGTGTGCTGTAATAGCTCTGTCAAAATACAACATGTTGACAGCTGTAAAAATCCTAAAATAAGGATGTGGAAATAGTCTTATGATTGGCTGTTTGTTTTGAAGGTCAGAAAGTATTCCATTGTGTATTCACAGCCAGGTAATCTAACCTTATAGAATCAGTTCAGACCTTTAATGTCCCTTAAAGGGAAATTGGATTTAACAGCAGCGGGTCAAAACACAAACACGACGAATGTCATAGACCGAGGACACAACCTGATCCCATACAATCAGGAATGTTGTACACTGACATGTGGAATAAACAAAACACAGACAAAACTAAAGCCAAAAAGTCTTAAAACGTGATCGTTGATAACATACTTTAATACACGTTGAGACAAGGTGAAAAGTTGAGGAAAATCAGCAGCTACTTTTAGGAATGTACAGAGGTATCGTATCGGTTGAACAACACTATCAACTGATTCAGCCCTGTTGACAACACTGGCCGCTTCACTTATGCAAGACTTTTAAAAATAGTTACAAAACATAGCTCCATCATCATCATCATGTGTTAAAGTCTCCTCTGTTCATCAGACAGTGCTGACCTCTGCTCCTGTCCCCCCTGTAGGCACCTCAGCGTGTCCTCGTGGTCGATTCTACTGCACCAACCTGGGTTTCCGCCCACACTACATCCCATCATCACGAGTCAATGACGGCATCTGTGGTAAGGCTTTTCATACTTCATTATACTGAATGGGGAAAATGCTCTCTGTAGACTGAGAGGTGACTGTAATACACTCGACACAATCTTCAGAAGTGAGGCAACGGATCAGCAATGTTTTCTGCTTCCAAGGACAGCAGCCCTTTTATCCTCGAAGAAAGGGAACCTCTACCTTTATGTGTTTGAAAAAGCAGGTGGGAAGGTTCGATGATTAGCGTACTCGAACATCCAGCGACGTATCACATTCTTGATGAGTTGAATTGTTAATGAAAAAGAAGTTCCTTTTTTGTATCAGGTTCAAAGTTGTCTGTTCACTTCTGCTCCTTTGTGTGCTTTGCAAACATGGAGCAGAATTCATATTTCACATTATTCCAAGAAGCTGACGTGTTGGTGTACAAACTGTCACTCCTTAAGAAGTACAAACAAACAGATGAAGTAGACACAGCAAACAAAAACATGGCTCTGTAACACACACATGCCAATGTGAACTCTCCGCACACAGTCTTCTTGAAAAAAACATCCTGTCCTCTTCCCAAGGCTGCTCTCTATTCTTTCTCGTGAAAAATCTGCCACAGTCTTTGCCTAATCAGATAGTTTTTCAGCCCGTCTTTCTTGTCCACTTTTGTTCTCTGCTGGCTCTGCACTTTGTGAAAAAAATCAATATGTTCTGTTGTCGACATCTACGCTCCGTCACCGGCGCTTTCAGCAGCGTTAGACGGCATGTAACCATCGCTGGTAACACAAAAATGAAGGCATGAAGAATGAAAGAGGAGCAGTGGTGGAATATTCCTCAAAGCATCCTTCTTCCTGTCCTCTCGCTTTTATTTCACTCCCACCTGTCTTCCCACACCTTTCCTGCCTCGAATGGAGCCACTTTAGAAGCTAACACATCCTCGC